GTTGGTGTTGGGAGAAATCCTGGGTTTTATCCTCAATGTCCCCTCTCACGTCACGCTGGGTTTCGTGGCGTTACCGCTGCGCCGTAAGCACTGGTTGGCCGTCCGGCAGTTCCGCGGTACCTATTACAACCTCGACTCCAAACTCCGGGCGCCTGTTCCCATTGGAGGCGATGCCGAACTCAGGTAACGCCCGCTGGGTGACGCCACGTGACACCCAGCCCTGAGCGGACATGGGTGTCACCTCCGCTTGTCCCCCCGGCAGGGCTTTCCTGCGGGATTTCCTCTCCCAAGGGCTCTGCGAGGTTTTCCTCGTCGTGCCACGTGCCGTGGAGGAAACCGGCGCCTGGCTGAGCCCTGAGTGACTCGTCACATGCACCGACGGGTGACACCAGCCTCGGTACCACCCTCCTTCCGCTTTGGGATGAAACTGCGACGCTTTGGGTCTTTATCCGGGTACTGCTCATCCGGGACGGGAGCAGTGATGTTCCAACACGAATCTGGATGGTTTTGTCACCGTGCCACCGCGGTGCTTCAGTGCCCCGATTTCGTGCTCTGTCACCAGGATTCCTCTGCGGGTGTGTGACAGGGTGCTGGTGTTGTAGTGGGTTGATGGTGGGAGAAGGCGTGTCGCACGCGTCACGGCACATCACGCCCCGGTTGCGCGTTGCCCGTCGCTCGTGCCGTCACCGGTGTCCCATGTCACACGCTCCTTGTGCGCATCACACACCCGATGCTCTGCTTGTGCATGCCGCCGTCCCCATCACGCATGTCACACATGCGTGTTGCCCACCACTTGCGTGCCTTTCCCTCGTCCGGAGCCGGGTTGTTCCCAGCCCTTTCTGGTGCCGGATTTCAGCCTGCGGCATTGTGGTGCGGCGTCCCCTGGCTCGATGGCGCTTGGTGTGACCTCGAGGTGCACGTGGCGCCCGAATGGGCTTAATTAACCACAAAAAGGTGATTAAAACTGACAGTTTACAGCTTTGTGTCGCCGCTGCTCAGGGTATGTGTCCCTCCCAGGCTCACTGTGGGAATCTGGGGCTGAACGATCCCCAAAATCCCCAAAGCTGACCCCAAATTCACAAGTTCAGCTCGGCCGGGATTCCCCGGCTGCAGGGAGCAATAAAAAGCCTGAAAACATAAACGGAGGAAGAGGGTCTGACCCCAGGGATGAAGTTGGGAGGATTCAGGGGGCGAGAAAGGGCCGGCTGGGCCGTGTCCCGCCCCCCTTCTGCTGGGGGCGGCTCCAAACCGTGCGCGTTGATTGGTCCGCTCCTTGCACCCGCCCGGCCAATGGCAGCGCGCTGTTTGGATCATGTCTCCGTGGCCGAAGGGGAACAGTACGGAGTCGTGGCGGGCGGCTGCAGGTTGTATGTTTGTGTGCTCCCTGGTGGTCTAGTGGTTAGGATTCGGCGCTCTCACCGCGCGGCCGGGGTTCGATTCCCGGTCAGGGAAAAGACAAACAAGCTACAATCCCTTTTCCCCCCCGACCCATTTTCGCTGTCTTTTTCCACCCACTCGCGACTGTTCACACCCCGTCACGATACGGGAGGCTCAGCCACAGTGCCTCCTTCATCCCTTGGAATGCGCGGGTGGGCGGGGCGAGATGTTTAAAAAATAAAAAAAGGGAGTGGGATAATGGCAAAACATCACGCGTTATTATCGCGACAAACGCGCGATAGAGGGAAGGCACCGCTGGGATTCGAACCCAGGATCTCCTGTTTACTAGACAG